GGTTTTGTGTTCCCTTGTTCCTGCTGTTGTCTTTCCTTGGGTTTTGTGTTCCCCTTGTTCCTGCTGTTGTCTTTCCTTCGATTTAGTGTCTCCCGGTTCCTGCTGCTGTCTTCCCTTGGATTTAGTGTCTCCCTGTTCCTGCAGTTGTCTTTCCTTGAATTTAGTAACCCCCTGTTCCTGCTGTTGTCTTTCCTCGGGTTTTGTGTTCCTCCTTGTTCCTGCAGTTGTCTTTCCTTGGGTTTTGTGTTCCCTTGTTCCTGCTGTTGTCTGTCCTTGGGTTTTGTGTTCCCCTTGTTCCTGCTGTTGTCTGTCCTTGGGTTTTGTGTTCCCCTTGTTCCTGCTGTTGCCTTTCCTTGGGTTTTGTGTTCCCCTTGTTCCTGCAGTTGTCTTTCCTTGGGTTTTCTGTCCCCCTGTTCCTGCTGTTACCTTTCATTGGATTTAGTGTCTCCCTGTTCCTGCTGTTGTCTTTCCTTGGGTTTGGTGTCCCCTTGTTCCTGCTGTTATCTTTCCTTGGGTTTTGTGTTCCCCCTGTTCCTGCAGTTGTCTTTCCTTGAATTTAGTAACCCCCTGTTCCTGCTGTAATTTTTCCTTGGGTTTTGTGTTCCCCCTGTTCCTGCTGTTGTCTTTCCTTGGATTTAGTGTCTCCCTGTTCCTGCCGTTGTCTTTCCTTGGATTTAGTGTCTCCCTCTTCCTGCAGTTGTCTTTCCTTGGGTTTTGTGTTCCCCCTGTTCCTGCAGTTGTCTTTCCTTGCATTTAGTCACCCCCTGTTCCTGCTGTTGTTTTTCCTTGGGTTTTGTGTTCCCCCTGTTCCTGCTGTTGTCTTTCCTTGAGTTTGGTGTCCCCTTGTTCCTGCTGTTGTCTTTCTTTCGGTTTTGTGTTCCCTTGTTCCTGCTGTTGTCTTTCCTTGGGTTTTGTGTTCCCCTTGTTCCTGCTGTTGTCTTTCCTTCGATTTAGTGTCTCCCGAGTCCTGCTGCTGTCTTCCCTTGGATTTAGTGTCTCCCTGTTCCTGCAGTTGTCTTTCATTGGGTTTTGTGTTCCCCCTGTTCCTGCAGTTGTCTTTCATTGAATTTGGTAACCCCCTGTTCCTGCTGTTGTCTTTCCTCAGGTTTTGTGTTCCCCCTGTTCCTGCTGTTGTCTGTCCTTGGGTTTTGTGTTCCCCTTGTTCCTGCTGTTGCCTTTCCTTGGGTTTTGTGTTCCCCTTGTTCCTGCAGTTGTCTTTCCTTGGGTTTTCTGTCCCCCTGTTCCTGCTGTTACCTTTCATTGGATTTAGTGTCTCCCTGTTCCTGCTGTTGTCTTTCCTTGGGTTTGGTGTCCCCTTGTTCCTGCTGTTATCTTTCCTTGGGTTTTGTGTTCCCCCTGTTCCTGCAGTTGTCTTTCCTTGAATTTAGTAACCCCCTGTTCCTGCTGTAATTTTTCCTTGGGTTTTGTGTTCCCCCTGTTCCTGCTGTTGTCTTTCCTTGGATTTAGTGTCTCCCTGTTCCTGCCGTTGTCTTTCCTTGGATTTAGTGTCTCCCTCTTCCTGCAGTTGTCTTTCCTTGGGTTTTGTGTTCCCCCTGTTCCTGCAGTTGTCTTTCCTTGCATTTAGTAACCCCCTGTTCCTGCTGTTGTTTTTCCTTGGGTTTTGTGTTCCCCCTGTTCCTGCTGTTGTCTTTCCTTGAGTTTGGTGTCCCCTTGTTCCTGCTGTTGTCTTTCTTTCGGTTTTGTGTTCCCTTGTTCCTGCTGTTGTCTTTCCTTGGGTTTTGTGTTCCCCTTGTTCCTGCTGTTGTCTTTCCCTGCTGTTGTCTTCCCTTGGATTTAGTGTCTCCCTGTTCCTGCAGTTGTCTTTCATTGGGTTTTGTGTTCCCCCTGTTCCTGCAGTTGTCTTTCATTGAATTTGGTAACCCCCTGTTCCTGCTGTTGTCTTTCCTCAGGTTTTGTGTTCCCCCTGTTCCTGCTGTTGTCTGTCCTTGGGTTTTGTGTTCCCCTTGTTCCTGCTGTTGCCTTTCCTTGGGTTTTGTGTTCCCCTTGTTCCTGCAGTTGTCTTTCCTTGGGTTTTCTGTCCCCCTGTTCCTGCTGTTACCTTTCATTGGATTTAGTGTCTCCATGTTCCTGCTGTTGTCTTTCCTTGGGTTTGGTGTCCCCTTGTTCCTGCTGTTATCTTTCCTTGGGTTTTGTGTTCCCCCTGTTCCTGCAGTTGTCTTTCCTTGTAACCCCCTGTTCCTGCTGTTATTTTTCCTTGGGTTTTGTGTTCCCCCTGTTCCTGCTGTTGTCTTTCCTTGGATTTAGTGTCTCCCTGTTCCTGCTGTTGTCTTTCCTTGGGTTTTGTGGTTTTGTGTTCCCCCTGTTCCTGCTGTTGTCTTTCCTTGGATTTAGTGTCTCCCTGTTCCTGCTGTTGTCTTTCCTTGGATTTAGTGTCTCCCTCTTCCTGCAGTTGTCTTTCCTTGGGTTTTGTGTTCCCCCTGTTCCTGCAGTTGACTTTCCTTGAATTTAGTAACCCCCTGTTCCTGCTGTTGTTTTTCCTTGGGTTTTGTGTTCCCCCTGTTCCTGCTGTTGTCTTCCTTCCTTGAGTTTGGTGTCCCCTTGTTCCTGCTGTTGCGGTTTTGTGTGTTCCTGCAGTTGTCTTTCCTTGGGTTTTGTGTTTTTGTGTCTTTCCTTGGATTTAGTGTCTCCCTGTTCCTGCTGTTGTCTTTCCTTGGGTTTTGTGTTCCCCTTGTTCCTGCTGTTGTCTTTCCTTCGATTTAGTGTCTCCCGGTTCCTGCTGCTGTCTTCCCTTGGATTTAGTGTCTCCCTGTTCCTGCAGTTGTCTTTCCTTGGGTTTTGTGTTCCCCCTGTTCCTGCAGTTGTCTTTCATTGAATTTGGTAACCCCCTGTTCCTGCTGTTGTCTTTCCTCGGGTTTTGTGTTCCCCCTGTTCCTGCTGTTGTCTTTCCTTGGATTTAGTGTCTCCCTGTTCCTGCTGTTGTCTTTCCTTGGGTTTGGTGTCCCCTTGTTCCTGCTCTTATCTTTCCTTGGGTTTTGTGTTCCCCTTGTTCCTGCAGTTGTCTTTCCTTGGATTTTCTGTCCCCCTGTTCCTGCTGTTACCTTTCATTGGATTTAGTGTCTGCCTGGTCCTGCTGTTGTCTTTCTTTGGGTTTGGTGTCCCCTTGTTCCTGCTGTTGTCTTTCCCTGGATTTAGTGTCCTCCTGTTCCTGCTGTTGTCTTTCCCTGGATTTAGTGTCCCCCCTGTTCCTGCTGTTGTCTTTCCCTGGATTTAGTGTCCCCCTGTTCCTGCTATTGTCGTTCTTTGGGTTCGGTATCACCTTGTTCCTGCCGTTATCTTTCCTTGGGTTTGGTGTCCCCTTGTTCCTGCTGTTGTCTTTCCCTGGATTTAGTGTCCCCCCTGTTCCTGCTGTTGTCTTTCCTTGGATTTAGTGTCCCCCTTGTTCCTGCTGTTGTCTTTCCTTGGATTTAGTGTTCCCCTGTTCCTGCTATTGTCGTTCTTTGGGTTCGGTATCACCTTGTTCCTGCCGTTATCTTTCCTTGAGTTTGGTGTCCCCCTGTTCCTGCCGTTATCTTTCCTTGGGTTTTGTGTTCCCCCTGTTCCTGCAGTTGTCTTTCCTTGGGTTTTGTGTTCCCCCTGTTCCTGCAGTTGTCTTTCCTTGGGTTTTGTGTTCCCCCTGTTCCTGCCGTTGTCTTTCCTTGGGTTTTCTGTCCCCCTGTTCCTGCTGTTACCTTTCATTGGATTTAGTGTCTCCATGTTCCTGCTGTTGTCTTTCCTTGGGTTTGGTGTCCCCTTGTTCCTGCTGTTATCTTTCCTTGGGTTTTGTGTTCCCCCTGTTCCTGCAGTTGTCTTTCCTTGAATTTAGTAACCCCCTGTTCCTGCTGTTATTTTTCCTTGGGTTTTGTGTTCCCCCTGTTCCTGCTGTTGTCTTTCCTTGGATTTAGTGTCTCCCTGTTCCTGCTGTTGTCTTTCCTTGGGTTTTGTGTTCCCCTTGTTCCTGCTGTTGTCATTCCTTGGGTTTTGTGTTCCCCCTGTTCCTGCTGTTGTCTTTCCTTGGATTTAGTGTCTCCCTGTTCCTGCTGTTGTCTTTCCTTGGATTTAGTGTCTCCCTCTTCCTGCAGTTGTCTTTCCTTGGGTTTTGTGTTCCCCCTGTTCCTGCAGTTGACTTTCCTTGAATTTAGTAACCCCCTGTTCCTGCTGTTGTTTTTCCTTGGGTTTTGTGTTCCCCCTGTTCCTGCTGTTGTCTTTCCTTGAGTTTGGTGTCCCCTTGTTCCTGCTGTTGTCTTTCTTTCGGTTTTGTGTTCCCTTGTTCCTGCAGTTGTCTTTCCTTGGGTTTTGTGTTCCCCCTGTTCCTGCAGTTGTCTTTCCTTGGATTTAGTGTCTCCCTGTTCCTGCTGTTGTCTTTCCTTGGGTTTTGTGTTCCCCTTGTTCCTGCTGTTGTCTTTCCTTCGATTTAGTGTCTCCCGGTTCCTGCTGCTGTCTTCCCTTGGATTTAGTGTCTCCCTGTTCCTGCAGTTGTCTTTCCTTGGGTTTTGTGTTCCTCCTGTTCCTGCTGTTGTCTTTCCTCGGGTTTTGTGTTCCCCATGTTCCTGCTGTTGTCTTTCCTTGGATTTAGTGTCTCCCTGTTCCTGCTGTTGTCTTTCCTTGGGTTTGGTGTCCCCTTGTTCCTGCTGTTATCTTTCCTTGGGTTTTGCGTTCCCCTTGTTCCTGCAGTTGTCTTTCCTTGGGTTTTCTGTCCCCCTGTTCCTGCTGTTACCTTTCATTGGATTTAGTGTCTGCCTGTTCCTGCTGTTGTCTTTCTTTAGGTTTGGTGTCCCCTTGTTCCTGCTGTTGTCTTTCCCTGGATTTAGTGTCCTCCTGTTCCTGCTGTTGTCTTTCCCTGGATTTAGTGTCCCCCCTGTTCCTGCTGTTGTCTTTCCCTGGATTTAGTGTCCCCCTGTTCCTGCTATTGTCGTTCTTTGGGTTCGGTATCACCTTGTTCCTGCCGTTATCTTTCCTTGGGTTTGGTGTCCCCTTGTTCCTGCTGTTGTCTTTCCCTGGATTTAGTGTCCCCCCTGTTCCTGCTGTTGTCTTTCCTTGGATTTAGTGTCCCCCTTGTTCCTGCTGTTGTCTTTCCTTGGATTTAGTGTTCCCCTGTTCCTGCTATTGTCGTTCTTTGGGTTCGGTATCACCTTGTTCCTGCCGTTATCTTTCCTTGAGTTTGGTGTCCCCCTGTTCCTGCCGTTATCTTTCCTTGGGTTTTGTGTTCCCCCTGTTCCTGCAGTTGTCTTTCCTTGGGTTTTGTGTTCCCCCTGTTCCTGCAGTTGTCTTTCCTTGGGTTTTGTGTTCCCCCTGTTCCTGCCGTTGTCTTTCCTTGGATTTAGTGTCCCCCTGTTCCTGCTGTTGTCGTTCTTTGGGTTCGGTATCACCTTGTTCGTGCCGTTATCTTTCCTTGAGTTTGGTGTCCCCTTGTTCCTGCTGTTGTCTTTCCTTTGCTTTGGTGTCACCTTTTTCCTCCTTCTTTTGTATTTCCTTTGATTTGGTAACCCTCTATTACTCTTTCTGTAATTTTTCCTCTGTTTTGGTGTCCCACTGTTCCTCCTTCTGTTGTCTTTGTCAGCCTTTGATTTTTCTCTGTTTTTGGTGTGTCCGAGATTCTTTTCATCAAATGAGTAAATTTGGTGTCTTTGAACCACTGCTCTCGGACATGTAGTTATGATTTGTTATGACAATGAGTTACCGTGTGCTATTTCTAACATACACCGTGTTAGGTTGACGCTGAACAAATGATGTCTGGGTTTAATTAGATGCCGATACTAGATACACATTGATGAACAACATTGGAAAAGTCTGATAAAGTGTTTTCTGTAATCGGACAGACGGACGGACCGACAGCCAAGCATTTTATTCGTCTTTCTGTATGAGAGACAACACAACAGTTTTAAAAGGAATTGAGAATTAGTTTACCATTATAAGTTTTTCTTTTTGGATGACTTTCACTTGATATGACACATTCGTGTTTATTTTGAGATAATTAACTCGATATGGCGTTTTTGTATTGTTTCTATATTTATTTATATGTAAAATATGGTTTGGATTAATGTTTTGTTGTTGGTTTTTTATTTGTGTATAGAATATACTTTCTATAAACATGCAGACTATAGGGGATCGCATGAACCAGTTGAAAGCGAAACAAAATTGTTGACTGGGGTTCGATAACCTCTGGCAGAAGGACGTTATTATGGTCTTGAGCAAGTCTTTTTTTATTGCTCCTTACTGCCAATGTGAAAAGTCTTTGTTAGGTAAAATGAAATGTTCGCTGTTATGAATCATAATGTGACTCGGGCTTGTACTTAGGTTTACATGGGTTAAGAAGTCAAGAACACATACCGCGTGATCCCACAGATAGATACAGGCTTAACAAGCATATCGGCATACAAAATTCAAGACACGTCTTTAAACATAGTACACTGCTTAAAGTGATCAAGTGGGGTGATCTGGATTGAAGAATATACTTCCATACTCTCATGAATATTCATTTTATTTTACTATTTTTTGCATACTATATTCTTTTGTGTATCTTTCATATAAGCCAGTATTCTATAAATCGAAAATAACAATGATACATATGTACACTATAAAACGCTTGATTTACACCGACATAAATAGTTAATTATCGGCAGTGTAAACGGTCGAGTGGAGCATCAAGTTTAAACAATTCTGTGTCTACATCACTTACGGCACAATAGCCACGTGCATCATGCCACTTTTTTCTATGTAAGTCTAAATATAACTCCATGTAACCCAAACGCGATTTTTGAAATTGTTTTGTTTCCAAAGTGCATCGAATGTTTAAGGGTTATCGCGGGGTATGTATGTTCAGAACTTAATCATGAACAAATATTTTTCATTCTTAAAGCATTACTTGGTATTTAATTACTTAGCAACTTGTTTAATATTTCGTCATTTTGTGAATTGCGTGCAAGAACATCAGTCGAATTGCGGGCAATTATTACGTTGATTTCGATACACGTCATCAAAGTAAACGAAAGTGGTAAAAAATAAAGTGACTCATTCATGTTTTGTGTTTAATACAGCTATCTGACTTGTTATCGGGAAATCACAATGAATTATTAAAGAGTTTGTTGTTTGCGAAGTAGTAAAAGTTAATTGTAAACAGCAACGATACAGTGGACACGAAATGCATAATTATATGACATCGCGCTTAGAAATTTTCCTTCTTGCTGAAGTCACGTGATCATTGTCACGTGCCCAGAAAGAATGTAGATCACACAGATTGGTGGCTATTCCGAAAGATACCGAGAAATTAGTAAAGAGTGTCTCTTTTCGATGACTACACCTTCATAAGAAAAATAACAAGTATGTCACTGCGTGAAGACGCTGGTATATTTTGCCACTGTATGAAAACAAAGGTATATTTTGTCATTGCATGAAAACGCTGTGGTACATTTTACTACAGCGTGAAGATACTGTAGTATGCTTTGTCACTTTGTGATGTCGCTGTGGTATTTTTTGTTACTTTGTGATGACGCTGTGGTATTTTTTGATACTTTGTGATGACAATGTGATATTTTTTGCCACTTTGTGATGACGCTGTGGTATTTTTTGTACTTTGTGATTACAATGTGGTATTTTTTGTCACTTTGTGATGACGCTGTGGTACGTTTTGTTACTTTGTGATGACGCTGTGGTATTTTTGTTACTTTGTGATGACGCTGTGGTATTTTTTTATACTTTGTGATTACAATGTGGTATTTTTTGTCACTTTGTGATGACGCTGTGGTACGTTTTGTTACTTTGTGATGACGCTGTGGTATTTTTGTTACTTTGTGATGACGCTGTGGTATTTTTTGATACTTTGTGATGACAATGTGATATTTTTTGCCACTTTGTGATGACGCTGTGGTATTTTTTGATACTTTGTGATTACAATGTGGTATTTTTTGTCACTTTGTGATGACGCTGTGGTACGTTTTGTTACTTTGTGATGACGCTGTGGTATTTTTGTTACTTTGTGATGACGCTGTGGTATTTTTGTCACTTTGTGATGACGCTGTGATATTTTTGTTACTTTGTGATGACGCTGTGATATTTTTGTTACTTTGTGATAACGCTGCTGTATACTTTGTCACTTTGTGATGACGCTGCTGTTTGTTTTTGTCACTTTGTGATGACGCCGCTGTTTAGTTTGTCACTTTGTGATGACTCTGCTGTATACTTTGTCACTTTGTGATGACGCTGCTGTTTACTTTGTCACTTTGTGATGACGCTGCTGTTTACTTTGTCACTTTGTGATGACGCTGCTGTTTACTTTGTCACTTTGTGATGACGCTGCTGTATACTTTGTCACTTTGTGATGACGCCGCTGTTTACTTTGTCACTTTGTGATGACTCTGCTGTATACTTTGTCACTTTGTGATGACGCTGCTGTTTACTTTGTCACTTTGTGATGACGCCGCTGTTTAGTTTGTCACTTTGTGATGACGCTGCTGTATACTTTGTCAGTGCCCGATAACGCTGCTGTATACTTTGTCACTTTGTGATGGCGCCGCTGTTTACTTTGTCACTTTGTGAAGACGCTGCTGTATACTTTGTCACTTTGTGATGACGCTGCTGTATAATTTGTCACTTTGTGAAGACGCTGCTGTATACTTTGTCACTTTGTGATGGCGCCGCTGTTTACTTTGTCACTTTGTGATGACTCTGCTGTTTACTTTGTCACTTTGTGAAGACGCTGCTGTATACTTTGTCACTTTGTGATGACGCTGCTGTATAATTTGTCACTTTGTGAAGACGCTGCTGTATACTTTGTCACTTTGTGATGAGGCTGCTGTATACTTTGTCACTTTGTGATGACGCCGCTGTTTACTTTGTCACTTTGTGATGACGCTGCTGTGTACTTTGTCACTTTGTGATGACGCTGCTGTGTACTTTGTCACTTTGTATTGATGACGCTATGTTTATATCACCCTTCTCTGTAGACACTTTGATACATTTTGTTATTTTATACAGAACTAGTGAAATTCTGGAATTTTTTCTTTCATTTCTAAGTTTATATTAGGTTATCGTTGTATACATTTCTTGCAGATTGACATTTTTTTTTGTTAGAATATCTCACCTAGGTTAAAGTTCTTAAGAAATGATGATGAAAATTTGTGTGAAATATGATTGATGTTTATATTTCATGTCGATAATTTACTTATTTATCTGATAAGGTGTTACGTGCAGGTACACGTCCGAGGATTGTGTACGAATGTTTTTTGATAACATGTTCCTTTTACATCATCTGTTTGATCTCGTTTTTTCTGATGAGGATTATCACGATCGACATTAAAAGATTCATTCAGAAGATTTATCATGTATTTAATCTGCATATCATCAGTACAGTGTATAGTCGAATGCGGTAGGTGACACAGTAATTCATGTAATAGTGCAGCAATAGTGCAGGTGCTCTCGCGAATGGGCAGCCAGGTGTGGAATCTACAGAAATACAGCAGCCAGCTCCGGTGTTTAACAGATATACCTAGGTAGCCTGGTGTGGTTTCTAACAGGATACACCTGGGTAGTCACGTGGGATATCTAACGGGATACACTTTGGTAGTCAGGTGTGGCATCTAACGAGAAACACTTTGGTAGTCAGGTGTGGTATCTAACGGGATACATCTGGTTAGTCAGGTGATGTATCTAAAGGGATACACTTTGGTAGTCAGGTGTGGTATCTAAGGGGATACACTTAGGTAGTCAGGTGTGGTATCGAACGAGATACACTTTGGTAGTCAGGTGTGGTATCTAACAAGATACACTTGGGAAGTCAGGTGTGATATCAAACGGGATACACCTGGGAAGACGTGTATGGTATCTGACGTGATACACTTTGGTAGTCAGGTGTGGTATCTAACGAGAAACACTTTGGTAGTCAGGTGTGGTATCTAACGGGATACATCTGGGTAGTCAGGTGTGGTATCTAGACGGATATACCTTGGTAGTCAGGTGTGGTATCTGGAGGGATACACTTTGGTAGTCAGGTCTGGTATCTAACGGGATACATCTGGGTATATCTTGAGGGATACACTTTGGTAGTCAGGTGTGGTATCTAACGAGATACACTTTGGTAGTCAGGTGTGGTATCTAACGGGATACACCTGGGTAGTCAGGTGTGGTATCTAACGAGATACACTTTGGTAGTCAAGTGTGGTATCTGGAGGGATACACTTTGGTAGTCAGGTGTGGTATCTAACGGGATACACCTGGGTAGTCAGGTGTGATACACTTTGGTAGTCAGGTGTGGTATCTAACGGGATACACTTTGGTAGTCAGGTGCGGTATCTAACGAGATACTCTTTGGTAGTCAGGTGTGGTATCTAACGGGATACACCTGGGTAGTCAGGTGTGGTATCTAACGGGATACACTTTGGTAGTCAGGTGTGGTATCTAACGGGATACACTTTGGTAGTCAGGTGTGGTATCTAACGAGATACACTTTGGTAGTCAGGTGTGGTATCTAACGGGATACACCTGGGTAGTCAGGTGTGGTATCTAACGGGATACACCTGGGTAGTCAGGTGTGGTATCTAACGGGATACACCTGGGTAGTCAGGCGTGGTATCTAACGGGATACACCTGGGTAGTCAGGTGTGGTATCTAACGGGATACACTTTGGTAGTCAGGTGTGGTATCTA